ATTCGTCAGGGTGTTGAGGGAACTAAACGAGGACGTCGAGCACGAAATAGCGATTAAATGTCAAATGCAGATCAGATTGTTGTTGTGTTAGTAGACTTTCGAACGGAACACTCGAAAAAGTTGTCCGGCTTGTTTTCGAGGAAAATCCAATTCACTTCGTCTCCATCTCCCTTCACAATTCCATCACTAATCGATTCCGATGAAACACGTTTCTTTCACTTCTTCGTTTTGTAAAACAAACAGGAGAAAGAGAGAGAGAGAGAGAGAGAGATTATTGAATGAACAAGTATCGTTTGGAGTCAAGTTTGGAGTCATTAACATATAGAATTCAACAATTATGTAAATTTTTTTAACATTAAGTTACATGGAACCATAGTTAAGATCTTATTCCATTTCAAGTTATTCCATTTATAAGAATATCTTTATAATAGAGTATTCCATAGAATTGGAATAAGTTATATTATATAAGAAAAGATAGATTGTAAATAGTTTAGTGCAGTATAATCTGAATATAATTTTACATGTTAGTTTTATAATTTGACAGAACCTATTCATTTGAAAGTTAATTGTATAATAATTGGCTTTTTAAAATTTGTATTCATAAAAAATATATAAATACATTAAGAAACATTGAAAAAACAGATTTTATATGACAAATTTCCAAATACTAATAGAATTAATTCAAATTCGAAAATATATAGTCCAAATAAATACAAATAACAACAAATATGTATTAAACATTGATTTAATAAATACAAATGAAACAATGAAATTGTAAGTACAAGAACTAAAATATTAAAACAAAAGAAGAAAGAAAAGAATTGCGTTGGGAATAAATAGAGCAAGAAGAAAGAATTCAATTTCATCCCTATAAATTTCTAATTTCAATTTTTCCTTTATTTTCAGACACACGGCGATCGACGAAGAGTCTCCAGGTTCCATCCCAAAATCGTTGACAATCGCCGCGCCAACTTCGAGGGACATTCCTCTGGACAGAGAAAATCTCGTTTTCCCATTGCCTTCCAGCGCCTCCACCGAGCAACACCCTTCCATTCGAAGATTCGAACCAAAACCAATTCTATCGTCCAAGGAATCATCGATCAAGTTCCAATATCCATCGACGAGACGAGAATCCCAACCTCTGAACATTTTCAACAAATCCTCCTGTTCCCCGGACAAACAACGACAAACCAAACTTCCAATAAACGTGCTAAACAAATCACCAGATATAGACGAGCCAAAGGACCAAACGAGAGAGAGATTCGCCGATTTGGAAGGGAAGGTGACCATCAAATTACCATCTGACGAATCAACCACGCTTGGATCAACGCGCAAAGATCACGAGGAATCCACCAGGATTCCATCCAGTCCAGAGGACGTTTCTGATCATGAGATCGTCGAGGTGAGAAAGGACAGTGCCTTGTTTCTCGAGGAAGCCGAAGGGTTGCCGACTCTTCGAGAAATTTTGAAGTCCAAGGCGCCGAGAGTGGTCAGACCTAGGAGAGAGAGCAGTGGATACGCTAGTAATTTGGGGACGTTCGACGAGGACAGGAGGAATTCGTCGACTGTGGATGTGTCGCAAGATTTGTCGTTCCTCAAGGAGAGGCGCAGATCCTCTACGACTAAACGGTTAAATTCGAGAGTGATATTGGGGAGAGCTGAAGAAAGCTTGACAGAGGACGTCGAGGTTGGAAGCATGCCTACCACAGAGGTGCATAGAAAGGTGTCCGGAGCTGGATTCGAGATGCCTAATATAGAGGAAGTTAAGGAGGTTCTCAGAGATGAAGCTCCTTCTAGGCTGGAGAGCCTGGATAATTTGTGTGGATTGACGAAACCTATCAATTCTGGTAAGTTATATAATGAATAATTAGTATTGTTAATATTGAATGGTAAATTTTTTTTTTGATAAAGGAGAAAATTATGAAAATATGTTATTAAAGTTGATGGAGTCTTCTTGTATCTAAATATAATATAGAAATCATAAAGATTAATAAGTTTTAATAATTCGTACATTTTTATGATGCAATAAAAATTATCACAATTTATTTTTAACTCGTGATATATAGCGTTGATAATAAGATATCTCTACTGAGTTTAAAATTTAAAGGATTACAAAGAATTTCGTGTAATACATTTAACTACAACTAAATTTATTTATTATTTTTGCAATATTTATTATAACAAAATTAACATTCAAATTTGTAATCTCTTGTTCTATGTCAATTGTGAGATTCAATCCTATAATCTCATTAAATAAAGAGATAATTCATTTAATTATATCATATTTCATGACATTCACGTCATAATAATTCGTTCCAACAGAAGAGTTCTCCACGCATTGTCGCCTAAGCGATTTACCAGATCGAGGCGACTCTCCAAAAGACAGATCAGAAGTACCATCCACTACTAAATGCCAAGAATCATCGACCATCTTCGATCCTTACGATTCTATAAACCGCTTTTCGATATCTCCAACTTCGAGGAGTCAAACTCCATTTATTCTTTGCACCACGCCGACGATCCACGATTCGAATTCTCGAAATACCAATAAACACACGGACAAATCCGTCGAACGATCGAAAGACGTCAATTCTGACAGAATTGCCAGAACTATCATGTCAAAAATCAACGAAGCGTCGCCATTGGACAAAAAAATCTCTGTGATTCAGAAGAAGGAAGAAACTACGACGAAGCAATCCGTCAGAGAAAATATTGTTCCACGACCGATCAAGATGTACCAATTGCTGTCCACCCAGTCTGAAGACAGAGCGGAGAGCGAGTTGCAGTTGGACAGAAGGATATTTCAAATTTCTAAACAAGATGACACGACTGCGGTTATATCTTCCACGAAACATCCTTTGAACAAGTCTTCGAGCGTTTTCACGTTGAAGAGCAGCGCTTCTGGGGACATCCAGACGTTGACATGTGGTGAAACTGCGGACGATTCGAACGTTAGAAAAGCGATTTCACCTGGAGAGGTGGGAACGAGTCAGAGTTTTCTTGGAGACGCCTCGAGTGTCTCTGTGAGACCTATTTATCCTTATTGCCCTTATTCTCCGTATGGAAGTCCCCAGGGATCCCCCAGAAACAGGAGGAGGCCTTTGAGGGAGAGCAGGAGAGTCTCCATTGACAACAAACAGGGAGCTCTTCAACTGAATCAATATAAATTGTTGGACAACATTGGTCAAGTAAGTTTAAATTGTTCTCTATTAATAATGTCTAGTAATACATGTTATTAACTCTTGTTCCCTGTTGTATTAAAATTGTATTAAACTTTAGAGTCAGTATAAAGAAATGTCAAATAAAAATAGAAGAAAATATTTATACTAAATTAGTTTTGTCTATGTTAATTATAATATTTTGTATTGTGTTCTATTGAAATCGTGTTTTCAGAGTATTATATTACAGGAGAATTGGCTTTAATAAGTTTTTATTATATATTAGTAGATACGAGTAATTTATAATGAAGGAAATAATAATAATAATAATATAATTAACTATGATATATTACTAATATATAATATTATAACATATGATATATATATAATTATAAAATAATTCTATTAAAAATACATAGTAATATAATTGTATTAACATTATAATATTATTATAATACAATTATATCATCACTATATTGGTACTATATTATACATATATCAGTGATATTTATTATGTATCATAATAAATTAATAATAGGATCCCTCTTTTAGACAGATTTTATCTCATGAAAAATTTACGTATCGCTCATAACGCGACCTACATAAACGCGAAAGCAGCAAATTAATGCAACCATAAATGAAATATTCCCTGTTGGAAGATAAAGAGTAATTTTTTTCTTACATAAAAAATATTCTATTAAATTATTTTCACTCGTTACACACGAGAAATTTTAAGGCCAATTTCGAAATGTAACGATTCGTTCTAATCGCGTTTAATTGATCAGCATTGGAAATTATATCATCGATGCGTAGAAAATCTCGCATTAACGTATCGTTCCTGTTAAAACTGATTAAATATCCTCGTCGATTTTATGAAGTTATTTTTAAAATGATTCGTTATTTTCGAACGAAACATTTGCATATTTTATCTATTTATATTTTTTATATTTTATATTTTATATTTCACTTTATATTGAAACAACGAGAAACAACACTTTTAATAATCTACGATATTAATCTAATGATATTTTTATTTATTCTTTATCATTGTTAACCACAATGAGACTTATTTCTCTCCTTTTCTTTCTTTTTTTTTTTTTTTCAGTTTTCTACTTTTTCTTTGCTTCAACATCGTCGAATAAATTGCTCCAATTTCGTAAATTACCCATTCACCTAGAAACCTTCTCCACCTAGAAGGAAATTCTTTGCCTGGTTAAGAAATAGCCGATGAAGGAATTTTATTCGAGAACACGAATTTTTATCTGAAAATTTGTTACAGTTTGTTAATAGGAATTCTCGAAATTATTCTGTACTTGTTTTGACACGTGAAATAAGCAATGTTGTATTAACAAATTTATCCTCGACAGAAATTCTCTCGTCCCCATATCTTTTACGAGAAAATGAAATTTTAACATTTATTAAAATATGGAAACATTTCAACAAAAATATGAAAAAATTTTGTACGTTTCTTAAACAAAAATTTTGATATTCTGTTTTTTAAAAGTTTAAGAAAGATTTTTTTGATTTTTTGAAATTGCATCGCATTTTCGATGTTTCTCATTCCTGAAACGTATTTTTCTTTGTATCCATTCGTTTTTATGTTAATAATCTTCGTTTTTGTTGATTGAACGTAACAATTCCAATCACGAAAATTAGTCAAAAGTAAGAGAACAAAATGTAGCTTGGGAAGTTGGAAAATTTGAAAATTTCATCACTATTTGAAGTGATAAAGCAAAATTCTAGAAATCACATATTTCGAGGAAAAAGATAAAAATGAAGAAACTATTTCAACGTGAAGAAATATCGTTTGCCACTTTTAAATTGAACATCGACATCGATTCGAACTTTTTCTCGGTCACCGTTTGATCTTTTCGAAATATATAGGTCGAGATTAAGTTTCTATCAATTCTCAAGGAGTCAAAAACTAAGTTTTTCTATTTGAAATTTATTGTATTTGAAAAGAAAGTTATTTCTGAATGTGCACGATAAAATTTTGATTCATATATGATATATAATTTGATAAAAAAAAATATACAGAATTAAGAAATGTATTATACACCTTTTTTTTTATACGTAAATTTTCTCGAAATAAACGAAACGAAAATAAAATAATACCAAATAAAAAAAAAAAGAGAACTAACGCAAAAAAAAATAAAAACTCCAGAAAAGATCGAAATATCGAGAATTTTAACTTTAATGAAGCAGCATTGTTTCATAGAAACGTTCCTTTTCCATTTCTCTTTAGAACATCACGTTTTAAAATAACATTTTTTTCCCTTTGAAAAACGTAGATGAACAAATGTTTTTAATAACTACCTGTCGATCAACCGAGCAATTTCTTCAATTTCCTCTTTGGAGAAAAATAAAGTTTCGAAACGAAGAAAGTTGTATGAAATAATAAAACTGCATGAAAATAAAAAAAAAAAAATCGATAGAAAATTAAAATTCCTTGATCATCGTCGTTTTATTTTAACAAACTCGAGAGATTTTATCATTCACGTTTTATAGGGTTCCTACGGGATTGTAAAACTAGTTTACAACGAAGAAGACGAGACCCAATACGCGATGAAGATTCTGAGCAAGAAGAAACTGATGAAGAAGGCGGGAATATTCGGTAGGATGGCTCCGGGGAAAAAGGGTGCGGCCAACCCTTTGGCCAAAGTCTACAGGGAGATCGCGTTGTTGAAGAAATTGGATCATCCGAACGTGGTGAAATTGGTCGAAGTTCTCGACGACCCGGACGAGGATAATCTTTACCTTGTTTTCGAATTGGTCCAGAGGGGAGAGATCCTTCAGGTGCCCACCGACAAACCTCTTGACGAGGAAACTGCCAGGAAGAATTTTCGTGATGTTGTAATGGGCGTGGAATATCGTGAGTATCCTATATATATATTCTGCATACAGATTGTTGAAACAAAATATGGATACTTGTTCTTTAAATTTATTTTCATATATATTTTTTTAATATCAATAAGCCAAATCCGAATATATGTTATATCATAATATTCATTCGTATTATATTTATTATAATTGATTGAGAGATCACATTTGATAACTAATAAATTATAATATTTTTTTCATACAATTTATACATCATGATTAATTTTAAACTCCATACTGATCGCTAAATTAAAAGTTCGATAAATCTTGATTAAATCCACCCCAGAAGAATTATTAAATTTCGTCCAATTGATCAACTTTCAATTTGTTTCAGTGCACTACCAGAGGATAGTCCATCGCGACATAAAACCTAGCAACCTGTTGGTAGACAGCGACGGTCGGATCAAGATCGCTGATTTAGGCGTTAGTGCAGAACTGAGGGCATCCGGAGAATTATTATCCGGGCCAGCCGGAACACCGGCGTTCGCAGCACCCGAAACAACCACGCCTGGCGCCCATTATTCCGGAACGGTAAGTATCCTATCGGGGCTATCGTTTGATCGATTTTCAATTTTGCCCGGTATTTATAGGTGGCGAAGAATTATTACGCCGCCACTCTGTTCAATCCTTGGCCGACGCTTTGCTACTCTCGAGTTTTCGCCAATTTTCGATCGTAATCGAAGGTTACCATTCGATGATAATGTCGCTCGAGAGCTGAAAGATCGTTTAAATGTGATAGATCTTTGTTTCTCGTTTTTCACGAAGAATCAATTTAAAAAATGTGAAATTTAAATGGCATCACGTTACACGTAGGTTTGTTTTGATGAAATTGAAATGAAATGGAGTTTTTTTTATCTTGTCCTACGTTTCATTTTTATGGTATTATATTTTTATAGAAAATATTGTAATATGTAACAATAGAAGTTATATAATACTAAAAAAATGTAATGTAATGCCATGCATAATAATATGCAAATATTTTTTATAGGGATTATATGATAAAAATATCATTTCTGTTTAGTTTTGATATTAAAAAATATATTCTATTTCTAAAAATAAAAACTATTATTTGGAAATTTCATACGAAAGTGATTAATGATCTATTTTGTTACATGCTTCTTGGAATTAGAATTTTGATTTTTTTCTTAAAATCATAAATAATATATGGATGCATCAATTTAAATGATCGTGATTTGTTTCAAAATTTTATTACAAACTTCTTCTGTAAAAGGTTCTTATTTTTGATTATTTTTTATTTTTATTTAAGGCCAATTTAAGACCTTTCTAGAATTAAAAAAAAAAACTAACTTTAACCCAATTATCCAAGTGGAAAATGTTTCTTTGTATTGCAAGTTCCCTTGCATATTTCACAAGCCATTAAAAAATCGATGTCGAGTAACGCAATCCGAGTTTTCTGATTGTGTTTCGCTCTTTCTATGTATATAATTACATTACACGTATCCTGAAACTTTTTGATAAGAAAGTTAAGTCGTACCACCATTTCACTATTTTATTTAGATCGACCATGACACGTTTGACGTAAATAATTTGTGAAATAAAATTTTTTTTCTTTCTTTTCTTTGCTCAATTTATATTGTTCTTCAGTTATTACATCCGATTAAAAAATTTTATTAAATCCAACAAAATTATCGAGAGTAGGTAAATATGATTTAGATCGATTATCTGACAAAGTTGCGAATTTGTATGATCAGTTAGAGAGAAAAATTGTTACTTAATCTTCTGAATCTTGTTCAATATATCTTAAAGGTTATAAGTTGAAAAACGACAAGGAATTTTTATTGAATATATATTTTATAAAGAAAAAAATTATTAAGTAATTTATTAGATATTTATTTATTTTTCATCTTAATTGATCATGAATAACATTAAATGATCTTCAAATATAAGTTACTGTATATAAGTTTTAAAACATTTTATCACAAGATAAATATTCATGTTAATATTATTAGAAATAACATAAATATAAAAAAAATTAATGTCTTCTCCATTTAAAAATTGTTCTTTCAAATTTAAAAATCTATTTTTTATCATTATAAAATATCTTAAATTAAATTAGATATATAAGTGTACATATAGTTATAAAAATTTAAAATTAAAATATCATATTTATGTCTTTTCATTACAATATAAATAATATTTTAAAATTCGAAACAGCGAGTAGATACAAGAAAGATATTATATTTATGTATACATATTTTAAAGCAAATATTATAATTAATATTAACAACGTGAAACCGCAATCAATTAACTTTTCAAACTCGTCCCTGTGGAAGATTCATTTCAATTAAAAAAAAAAAAAAAAAAAA